TTCCATAGGTCAAAGGTCAATACTCTTACAAATGCAATGCTAACACTGCTTTGTAATGCACATGCATCTTTAATATAATGGACTTATAGTATTACATGTCTAAAATATTTAGCAAAATACTTAGAATGAGAACATGTGGTAAATTTTATTTTTTCAGATTTCACAAAGCAAGTTCTTTTTAAAAGCAAGAATAATAGACACAGGTTAAAACTTAATAGATGTAGAGGTAATATAAACATAGTGCTCAAAGAAAAATTGCTTTGTGATTGAGAAGTAAGCATAAGACTCAGAATAGGGTAAAACAAAAAGAAATGCATAATAAGTAAAATGCAAATATCACACAGTATACTCCTGACTGGTTCTCTCAGTGGTGCTCTGCTCTCACACTGGAGTACACACCACTCCTGCTCTCCTCTTGTGTTACTGCTCTGTCTCTGTTTCACTTTTCTGGAGGAGAAATTTAGTGCTGTGTAGTTGACATCTGCACGTGCGTCCTAAAGATATGGAGACAAAATACACATTTAACCACTGAAATCTCAATCAGACACCATTATCTGTTATTTTTACTTTGTTCAGTCATAATTTTAAAATATCAGCACGTACCATATTTTCTGAACTCTCACAGTGTGGACTACTGACAGTATCAGGAGAATCTGTAAAATAGGATATGCCACACTGTTACTATGTATGCTAGACTATAACAGAAAATAGTCCACATTTAGTGTATGGTACCTCTGCAGTATTTACAGAGCCTCCCTCTCTTCACACAGAGAATGATGATCACGAGCACACACACACACAACAAGACTGACAGAGCCACAGTCACTGGCAGCAGCTGCAGCTCTGGGAGCTCATCTGAAACAATAGGTTACATTTTATAAATCTGGTAGAAGTCTCATTCATATATATTTAGCACTCTGATTGGAGTTCTACTAAGTCAATCTGGAATTAAAATGGTTTTGAGGAAGAACGTTTAGTCAAATACTAATTACTATTTTGAATACTATTGCTTCACAATTTCATCTGCCTGTGTATTTGAGGTAAACACCTAAGATGAGCTGAGACAAGATGTATTTCCGAAAATCTTTGAAGTAAATTCATACTGTCTGTGTATTATAGTCAGTCAATTAAAATGTTCACTTCAGAGCGACAATTGTAGACGTAAAATATGACTTTTAGAGCAAATATGACGTACCTATGTTCCAGTGTAGTTCCTGTCCCAAACAGGATATGTCCACATGTGTGCACAGCGCAGTAGTATGTCCCAGCCTCAGAGGAGTGTTCTATAGTTTTGGACAGACTGTAGACACAGCAGCTGTAGTTTGTAAAGTGGGACACTGAGTCCAGTGTGAGGCTCCACAGATCCAGCTCTGAACCAGTGCACCTGCTGCTCTTGTGGACACTGGATTTGGCTCTTTTTGTTTTTGGGCTGAAGTGAGCACTGAAGAGACACTGAGCGTCCTGGGACCACTGAAGCAGAGGATGGACTCTGTGTCACATGATCACAGCTCTGTGAGTCTGCTCCATCTGTGCCTAAGACAAGAGCACACAGTGTCAACAGCTACTCTTTACTATTCACTTAGTATTCTAATACTTTACCATTAACAACCAAGAAGGTGCCATTCACAAAGTTCTGTCCATATCCATCAATCAATATGCAATAGTAGATTGCTTCGTCCTCTTTTCTGATATTTTGTATTGTAAAAACGTGCTGATTATCTACAGTGTTGAATTTTAAAACAATCCTGACCTGAAGGATCATTTACTTTAAGATCATCAAATACATATCCAATAAATTGCATCATGTGTCCTGGGGTTTGCTTGTACCAGTAGACTTGTTCATACTTAAAAGCACATGTAAAACTGACAGTGTCCCCAAGTTGGACCACCGTCACAGGTATTCGGTCCTCTGCACTTTGACCTGTTAAAACACACTCATAAATCACCATGTATTTCATATACTATTATTACTGTAGTTTTACTTACAGAAGGTGCTCAAGAAGATGAAGGCAGTTAGTGGTCTAATCATGTTTCTTCTGATGTTCCAGACAGACTTACATGAGTATTTGATGTCTTCTCATCATAAAGCAAGCTTTGAAAAGCGGAAATCAAGGTGATTGGCTGAAGCTCAAATTTTCCACCCCAGACGCACTCTGTCATTTTTTGGCCACATTCTAGTCTCCATAGAGATGTCACTGCTTTGCCCAAAAATGTTCCACAAAATGGCATAGACATATATTAGAATGGAAAAATCCATCACCATGAAGAATGCTCAGAGTATTAGAGCTCAGAGTAATGTTTTTAACTTTTAATCTCAAAGCAGGTGGCACCACTTTTCTTTTTGAGGTTTTGAGGTATGGTATTTTTGAGCAATTGAATAAATGTGTGAGGGCAAGATTCCTGACTAAAATACAACCTCAGCAGGAGACAAGCAGGTGGCGGACCCTCGACCAGAAAGGTTAGTGCACCTGCACCTTTAATGAACAAGTGTCTATCACAGTAAGAAATTAATCTGCCTTTATCAAAGAATATAATACAAAACATAAAATTTTTAAGACTCTAATCTAAATCGAAGGGACAGAAAAAAAAAGATGAACTGATGGATAATGATGTGACTTACCAGGTTGGGATGAATCCTTTATCCTTTCCCATAAAATCTAAATTTATATATATATATATATATATATATATATATATATATATATTATATATATATATATATATATATATATATATATATATATATATATATATATATATATATATAAATTTGAAATATGTTTTTTGTGTGGAAGCCAAAGGCCAAGCACCCAAACGAAGCAAAACAAACATGGCAACACCACCAGTAGTACTTCAGCCTATTTTAGAATCAATACTAACTATTTTATTTGTGAAAAATATAGAGAAAGTAAACACTTTGGCTATTTGTGAACAGGGAAAATGTCTGTGCTCTCAACTGGATGTGTCAAAAGTTAGATTTTCCTGCTTGTTACGCTGTTGCAAGGCTTTGACCAATCACTCGTCATGAATTGTCATTATTTGATCAAATAATCGTCATGATGCTCCACGCTTTTCATTCACTTTCAGCGAGGGTCATCCCCGATTGATAATGTATAGAACTATATTCAGAGTGACACAGAGTATTAATCTAGCATGAGCCAGGTAACTGTATCTGATTTTTATTTACTTAAAACTTGAAAGACAGAACTGGTTCAGTTTACATGGTTTCCTTAGTTATCTTGAGCATCTGAGAATCATAATAACAGTGATGAGTTTTTGAGTGCTTTTCAGAACTCTCAGACACCAAAGCAGAGTTTGCCATTTTGATAATGCTGACAACAACTAGCATGCTAATGTGCACTTCCTGATTATCTGCCAATAAAATGCCCTCTAACTAGAAGCAGAAAGCATGCAACTGGATTATTTTCACTTATACAATGTGTCTGTTCTGCGACAAGACACATTTTGCCAAAATACATGTAAAAAACATAAAGGACCTTTAAAGACAACAAAAAAGACATCATGAATAGGGGTGGGTTCATATAAGTTTTCTTCTTCTTCCACTCCTTTTTGAGAAATGTGCTTTTCTGTTGTTTACAATGTTTATGTAGTATATATGATTATTGTTACTCTCTTGGTACAAACTTGAAATAAAAATGAATCAATCAATCAATCAAAACTGAGATGCATTTTGTGTTAAAACAATTGCCATGTTCACAAAGTATTGACTAAATTTTCCATGTCAAAACCGCAGTTTCCGCAATGTGCATCTGTCTAAAGAACAATAAGTCTAACCACACAGCAGCTTCACAGAGCAGTGGGTTTTGACTTTGTGACCACTGCATTCTAAAAACAGAATAGACTTAGAGTAGACCAGCTAAGGGGGAACACAGGGGGACAAAACAAATGATAAACATGTATCCGTTTTGCTAAATTATTGTCACATGGTTCTACATGAGCCTACCTGATTCAGGAAGTGTGACATACATTTTGTGTTTTCACGCCATTTTGATAGACAAGTCAAAAGTTTTCCATAGCAAAGCTGCAATCAATACCATTTTAAAGTTAGTTTATTGATTTTAAGATGCTAAATGAAATGATTTTTTACTACATATCCAAAATATTATAAATATATAAATTTCGGGAGTAGCCTACACACTTTAATATTATGTTAAAGAAAAATAGCATGCTAACTAGTGCAATAATCAGAACAAGAAAAACAAAAGGCCTCGATAACTAAAATCCACCTTTCACACAGTATATTCCTGCCTGGGCCCTGTGAGGATCAGTCTCTCAGTGGTGCTCTGCTCTCACACTGGAGTACACACACTCCTGCTCTCCTCTTGTGTTACTGCTCTATCTCTGATTCACTTTTTCTGGAGGAGAAATTCAGCGCTGCATAGTTGACATCTGCATGTGTATCCTGCAAGTATGAAGACAAAACAAACATGTAACCACTGAAATCTCAATCATACACAAGTTATCTGTTGTTTTTAATGTGCTCAAAATTTCAAAATGTATCAGTATCAGCACATACCATATTTTCTGAACTCTCACAGTGTGAACTATTGACAGTATCAGGAGAATCTGTAAAATAGGATATGCCACACTATTACAGTTATGCATAGACAATAACAGAAAATAGTTCACATTTAGTATATAGTACCTCTACAGTGTGCACAGAGCCTCCCTCTCTTCACACAGAGGACGATGATCACGAGCACACACACACACAACAGGACTGACAGAGCCACAGTCACTGGCAACAGCTGCAGCTCTGGGAGCTCATCTGACAATATATAGCAAGGTTACATTATATAAATCTTGTAGAAGTTTCATTCATATGTGAAGCACTCTGATTGGAGTTGTATAAAAAAAATACACTGGGATGACAAATACTAATACTACTACTTGTCACTAGTCAAGTCCACCAAAAACCAAACTCACAAATATCATAAGAATTAATACTGCTGGGCAACAGGGGAAAATATACGTATGAGACTAAACACAGTAGTCCATAGAAAACAAAAAGAACAATAGCATTCTTTATATTCCCAGAAAGTCATCATTTGTGCAGTCAGTCAATTAAATGTTCACTTCAGAGACTACAATTTATTCACACATGTAAAATATGACTTTAAGAGCAAACATGACGTACCTATGTTCAGTGTAGTTCCTGTCCCAAACAGGATATGTCCACATGTGTGCACAGCGCAGTAGTATGTCCCAGCCTCAGAGGAGCGTCCTATAGTTTTGGACAGACTGTAGACACAGCTGGAGTTTGTAAAGTGGGACATGAGTCCAGTGTGAGGCTCCACAGATCCAGCTCTGAACCAGTGCACCTGCTGCTCTTGTGGACACTGGATTTGGCTCTTGTTGTTTTTGGGCTGAAGTGAACACTGAAGAGACACTGAGCGTCCTGGGACCACTGAAGCAGAGGATGGACTCTGTGTCACATGAACACAGCTCTGTGAGTCTGCTCCATCTGTGCCAAAGACAAGAGCACACAGTGTCAACAGCTACTCTCTTACTACTATTCACTTAGTATTCTAATACTTTACCATTAACAACCAAGAAGGTGCCGTTCATGAAGCTCAAAATAATTCCACCCCTTATTTGACAATAGTAGATTGCTTGATCCTCTTTTATGATATTTCTGATTTCAAGAACATGTTTTTTATCCACTGCGGCAAAGGTAAAACGATTTTGATCTTTAAAGGAATCACCAACATCATTTTGTTCATAGTATACAGTTGCAATTTGTTGCATTGTATGTCCTGGAGTTTGCTTATACCAATAAACTGCACTCGCAGTGTCAAGAAAATGTGAACATGTAAAAGTAACAGTGTCTCCAGGTTGGACCACTGTCACAGGTATTTGGTCCTCTGCACTTTGACCTATAAAAAACACACTCATAAATCATCATGTATTTCATATATTCTGTCAGTGTAGTTTTACTTACACAAGGTGCTCAGGAAGATGAAGGCAGTTAGTGGTCCAGTCATGTTTCTTCTGATGTTCCAGACAGACTTACATGAGTATTTGAAGTCTCGTCACCTTAAAGCGAGCTTTGAAAAGCGGAAATTGTAGCGATTGGCTGAAATACAAATTTACCACATCCTAAGCATAATGAAGGTCTGTAAGGTGGGTATGTAGGTCTCCATCGGACTTAAAGTTACAGATTTTTATGATTCTCTAATTATTTGGGGGATTATACCTGTTTTAACTATAAATTATAGTTCTGCAGAAATCAAGGAGCAATGACAGGTTGACAAATATGTTGAAAATTACATGAAGTAGAGAGTTCTAAAATATATTGATGGCATCATACTAGGCAGACTTTTATCCAAAAGACACCATTTATATACAAGAAACACATTTCTTCTGATTTATTACTGATACATTATTTCAAGTTTTTTTTCATATTTTCATTTGTCAAATAATAATATCTATGTAGATTAGAGGAGTTATATATAAGAGGACTAAGGGAGTGTGTGACGTTACCACAGCATTGGGCTCCAGTCGAATTAAGACATTTCAGGCTAGCAGTTTACTCATTTGGAGCCAAGATCCATAGTTGGAAATCTGAGCATGTGTATCATAGCAACCAAAGAGTCACCCGGGAGTGAAACTGTTTAAGGTACATACATTTTCAATAGAATGTTGCCCAATCACGCCCATCCAATATGGAACGTGGTGGCTTGTGGGTAAGCTCTCTCTCACTCATATTGATATTTTGCAGTGACATTGTGCTGGGGGTGTTCTACATGTATCTCTGTGGTGGAATGTTCAGCAGTTACCATGGTGACACAATGTACACATTATCAAACAGGTAGTCTAGTCTAGTTTAGTCTTCCTGGTTTAGTCCTGGTTCAGTCCTGGTCCCCTCATGTTACAGGTCACTGTAGGACAGTACTGGAGACATCATGAGCCTATATGCAATTTGAACTGAAGACAGTTCCTGCACTTTGGAGTTTATTCAAAGGTACAGTATAGTCATTTCAAAATTAGCATTGTATTGCATCCTCACTTGACACAATTTTTCACTCAGAAATATAAATCTAACACACACACACCCTTGACAAATGACTATCAAACATCTTTACCTGCTTCCTCTGATTCTTCCTCTGGTTCTGTGTCTGTGCCTGACTCAGACTCTGACCTCTCACTGTCCTTATCCTCTTCAAGGTTCACATTCACATCATTCTCCTCATCACTGGACACAAGCTCATCCTCACTCTCCTCTCTTGGAAGAGCTAAGTCTGCCCTGTGACATAGAAAAAGCTGGTATGCATGTTCTAAGGATGAAAATGAACAGGTTTAAGCTGATGACAGTACAATGAAGGTAAAGGTACAAAACAAGCAGAACACAATTATAAATATTTAACTATATACATTTCTATTATTTATATTACATAACCTTCCTTTTGCAAAAACAAATTTTCTTTAGTGAGCAATTGATATAGTTGTCAATAACTCATATAACATATTAATAAAAATGTTGGAATAACATAATTAAATAAATTTTATGTTTTCTGGTTAAAATGTTATAAATAATTGCAAACATAGTGTCAGGATAGTGGAAGTTTTTGTTTGTTTGTTTTTAACTGAAACTAAGGGGAAACTAATAATGCATCAAAATCAGTTTTTGCTTTGTTACGTTTTGTTTTTTACGGTGGTCAGGAAGTGTAAAACACGTTTACATTTCACAATACACATTAACAAGTTTGAAAACAAAATTACATTTAAACTACACATTTACATCTTGAAAACAAATTTACCTTTCATAAAACACATTTGCAAACAAATTTGCAAACACATTTGCAAATAAATAAAACTTGTACAAGAGCCGAAACAAATGCTTTTTTGTTGATTTACAGATGCTTCCCGTGTATCAATCCAGAAACAGGCTCCAAGACAAAGAGGAAGCGTGGAGGCATCATTGCACATGTAAGCACTCTAATACGCAAACTGGTAGATTTTGAGTGGCAGACAATGTAGAAGGAATTACAAAATGTTTTAACAACTTGAGAGTATCCCTTTTTGTCATGACCTGTGGAATCCATTTTGGCAAACTGGCCCATTGCCATAATCCCTATAGTCATAGCAGTAGGTTTGTTAGCTTTATTGTCAGTACAAGATGTTTTTTAGATTGGTGGAATTCTCTCATCAAACTCATTAAATACACAATCCAGCAACTCCAAAACACTCTGGTGGACAAGTTGTGACCAGCACATTCACCTCTCTCTTTTTACCTCAAAAACAACAGTCTGGTAACGTCACATTATGATCTCATATTGTGGCAAATGTGCAGATCATAACTTGTGCACCAGAGTGTTTTGGAGTTGTTGGATTGGGTATTTGATGAGATTGAGGAGAGAAACCAAGAAATCCTGTAAGCCTCCATAGCGGTAGCTCTGAGCAGCTCACATCTCTGCTCCACCAATCTGAAAACAGTTTGTATAGATAATTAAAGGTAACAAACCTATTCCTAGGACTATAGGGATTATGGCAATGGGCCAGTTTGCCATAATGTTGAACTATCCCTATAAAATATGCCTGAATTGTAGTGGTTGTACTGTTGTACATTTTTGCTGTTGCACATTTTAAATAGTTCATTTTTAACAGTGTTTGTAAAGGGTGTCCCATTTGTCCCTCGATTCCATTGGCAGCCATTTTGATTGCATGTAAGAGCCAAAAAATCTACTTCCTGTGAGAGGTTTTACTGTTGCACATTTTGACAGTTGCATTTTTTTGCTGTTGGACATTTTATACTTTTATAATTGTTTAAAACTGTTAGTATGCTTACGATTTGTACTGAATGTGTTGGGTGCATGTTTGTCCAGGAAACTGCCTATGAATATTTCTGTTGAATATAATTGCACTTTGCACTTAGCATAAGCTTGATTAAAAAGTGAAAACAAATCATCATATCGTTCTGTTTTCTACTTTGAGCATAAAGTGAGAGGGTGCAGTAAAATTACAATTAAAAAATTTGATTTTACAGTATATTACGCTGTTAATTAAACTGTAAATTTACAGTAAATTATTGGTTAATAATTGCATTACTTTTACAGTAATTCAACATAAATATTTTCACAGCAGTTTACTGTATTTATTTCACAGTTTAATGTAAGTTCACAGCTAATTACTGCTATATCACAGTAATTGCTAGGGCATGGCAAATGTGAATTTACAGTAAAGTGTTGTTTCATCGTAAATTACTTTGAAATAATTACAGTAAAATGCTTTGAACTATTTACAGCAAATTGCTGTGAAATTAATGCAATTATTAGCCAATAATTTACTGTTATTTCAGTGTGAGGTACAATTATATTTTGGTATGCATAAATTGTGAGGTGTATTTGATGTGCGATATGTGTGTACATATGATGGAGTGTGAGTCCTCAATTAATGATAATAATATATAATAGGGCAGTATAATTTCTATGTACACAGCACTGGTACAACTCGACATGTCTGTTTTCAAACAATACAACTGCTTAATGTAATTTTAAAGGTGTGCAGTTTCTTACTTTTACTGGTACTGTAGTTGATTTTTTTTTTTTTTTTTTTTATTGAATATCAGCACATTTTAGTAAAAAAGAGCATTTAAAGGTGACCACTTTTTGAGCCATGTTACAATGGTGTTCATCATCATACACTTACTCAGAGTTTTGATTGATTCCTGCATGTTTTTTGTAAAGGTACTTTTTATTGTCACTGTAGGGAAATTTGACCCATTTGGTTCAATGCTCAGAAAAAAACAGTTTTCACCTACACCCATCCAGGCCCACAGTATACATGTAGGGTTAAAAATGGCATGTCGTCATGTAGTTTCATCAATAGAAATGGGGCATATCAGTTTTAGATTTTTGAAAAGGAAGTCAATAGATCTTTTTTATTAGTGAACCATTTAAGATCAATATTGAGGTTTATAATGAACAAAATCTAAAATAATTGATCTGTGTATTGTATAGTTTAATATTAAATACCACAAAAACATCATATGTCTTGTTTAAATATATTATATTTGTGTCTCAGATGATTGACAATATTTTTATACACAAAATATCTAATTTGCAAAGAGGTTGGGCTGAATGAAAATACCCAACACATTGCAACATTCAACAATAATATTGGACTGTACACAAACTTGCATGAAGAGTAGGCTCTTATAAAGTTTCCCTCCTCCCTAGTATCCCCCCAGCATCTCACCGTCCCATTCACTCTCCTCTGTCTTACATTTACCCCCTCCAATGTCCAGGCCCTGGGGGGGAGACATCTTATAAAGGTCATCCAGTTGGATCAAAGTTAACAAATTTAATGAAGCTACTAATGCTTTCTCTTTGAGTCTTTCTGAGTCTTGACAGACTTGAGTGTGACAAAAAATAAACCCAATTTATGACGTCATTACACTGGATTTCCAGTAATTCTCACTGCCATATAATGTATCATACATACATAAAAATATTCTCCCACTACATACAAGGTATGTGTTTCTCCATTAATTTTCACAAATAAATATATTAAATATATTAAAAATCTAACAAAACTAATTGAACAACCCCTTTCTCAGTGCATGCAGTGTGACATTTTGGATTTCTTCTCTTATCTAATCTTGTGTTGAAACAGCCTTTCCATCATCTAATATGATTAAATAAGATTGTGGGCCCTGCCCTAAAACTGCACTTCAAACATTGTGAGGTACTATATATCTAATGTTCTTCGCCCACCAATTAGAAGAGGAGAAATGACTTTGTGGCCCAAATCAAATGAATCTAAACAGGACGTTTTGTATATTTTTCTGGTCTACAGTTTATGAACAATCCCTTCCTCAGTAGCACACAGATGAAGCAAGAGACTGAAGTAACTTTTGTCTTTTCTGTAGATTCTCCTCAAGGCACTGAATGATAACAGGGTCTATTTTGGGGTCAAATTTATTAGCAAACCAGTGACCGTCGTCAAGTAGCCAGCGTATTTCTGCCACACCATAGATGCAAATACCCCGTATGTGCACACCAGTGCAGCGTGGGTACAAATGGCCCTCCAGTTTGGACCACTTGACCAGCCTCGTCTTACTCATTTCAGCAGTGACATCTGGGTGTGACCGGGGAACCTCTTCCTGGTACACCAGGCAAACGTGCAAGGGTTGCCCAGAAATGTTCATCGGGGGAGTAGGTATCTTCACACCAAGCCAGAAAATCTTTGACCACATCAGAGGATTGCATATACTCCACAAATTCCCTTGACAGGACAAAGTAAGCACTGCCGGTAAACATTTCAATCCCATGAGGCGGTGGCTTCTTCTCTCTGTCTGTTTTTATGGGTAATTGTTTGTATTCATGGTTGACATCTTTAATTTCATGGTGATACTTATATCTTTCACTTTTATACGGAGTAGGTCTGCAAGTCTCTAACATGTTTGCACCTTTTAATTTGGTTAGTTCATTCACTAATTCAGTATTGGGTCTGAGGGGGAAATCCTGTCCACAAAGGTTGATAATGTACTTCCACTTAACCTCTGACTTCAAAAGGTCTGACATGCAATGCAAATCTGCCTTTAATCTGGTAATGCTGGCATAGACCACATATTCTCTTTTTGAAGCAATCATAACATTTGGCAAACACCGGGCCAAGCTTTCCATTGCTGAACGGAACTTATCTGAAGACTTCTCATCGTAGTGAATACAGAAAATATTGTTAGGAGAATATAATGCTTTGATAAGTCTCTCCACCATCCAGGCATATTTGTGGACAACTAATGAATACGCCAATGGGAAGGTTTTTCTCCTCCTGTGACAAGCATACATCGTTATAGCCTCTAGACTTGAGGAAAACATTGCAATTCGATGTGAGATTGACCAGGCCATCATCCGATTCCTCCACAATGTGTTTCCTTAATGTTAAAGCTCTCCACACTTCCATGGGGTCCATGTCGTATATTGCAGAGCAGTCCACATTGAATCGGTGAAAAGTCTGGAGGTCCAGGGGAGCGGGAGTGGTGGTGAAGTGATCCATATTACTGTTCCTCAAGATCACCATCAGCATGAGGCTCAGGGCCAAGGCTGCCAACAGCCATGACAGGGCGCCCCTCCACACTCTGATCTTATACATACAAAGACAAATAACATTCAAAGTCACACTCTCAGACATAAAAGTATAAAGTGAAAAATAATAACATGTGAAGTGTCGACTACTCTGTGAAAAAAAAAAAAAAAGAAAAGAAAAGAAAACAGAAAAGTGTAACTTACTCTATTAATGAAGTAGATTTCCATGTAGTTAGTCTGAGTTTGGGCCAAATTATCAATGAGTGCATGAAAAGATGCTCGATGACTCAATGTTGACTTGCTACTGTCTGTAGGTTAATGTCTTAAGTAATGTTATCTGAAAATGATTATAGACTCCCAGAAAGAGGCGGGCAGGTTACACCTTCTCTGTCCAACTATTGGCTATTTTTATCTCCTTGCACTTTTTGTGATGCTTTTAATTTAGGAGGGACTTATATAAAGGATGGGTCAAATGCAGAGGACAAATTTCTCTGTGAAGATAATATGAAGACAAGGCAAAACAAATGAGAAAACTAAAGAATATCTGAAAGAAAGGTGCAAGTAACACAAATTCAAATCAAGTAATCTATGGTCAAAATAAAACTTGTGGCTTGATTTACTTACAAAAAGAGAAATCTACCAAAACCTTAACTCAAGAGCACTGGTAAATATTTACCAAAGGTAGCTACTGTTCCATCAAACAAAGTAATAACAAGAAGAAACTTGTTAAGCACGTTCAAGTACTTCAACCACACAGAGCAACCTTTACTTCTGTAGCCTACTTTTAGTAGTAAGAGCTTAAATTTGTGCACCTGCTGCTGTTGTGGACACTGGATTTGGCTCTTTTCGGGCTGAAGTGAGCACTGAAGAGACACTGAGCGTCCTGGGACCACTGAAGCTGAGGATGGACTGAACACAGCTCTGTGAGTCTGCTCCATCTGTGCTAAAGACAAGAGCACACAATGTCAGCAGCTGCTCTGTTCTATTCACTTAGTATTCTCATACTTTACCATTAACAACCAAGAAGGTGGCGCTCATGAAGCTCAAAATAATTTCACCGCTTATTTGACAATAGTACGGTAGATTGCTTGATCCTCTTTTCTGATATTTCTGATTTCAAAAACATGTTTTTTATCCACTGCGGCAAAGGTAAAATGATTTTGATCTTTAAAGGAAACACAAACATTTTTTTGATCAAAGTATACAGTTGAAATTTGTTGCATTGTATGCCCTGGAGTTTGCATGAACATGTAACAGTGACAGTGTCTCCAGGTTGGACCACTGTCAGGTATTTGGTCCTTTGACCTATAAAAAACACACTCATAAATCATCATGTATTTCATATATTCTGTCAGTGTAGTTTTACTTACACAAGGTGCTCAGGAAGATGAAGGCAGTTAGTGGTCCAGTCATGTTTCTTCTGATGTTCCAGACAGACTTACATGAGTATATCTGAAGTGTCCTCACCTTAAAGCGAGCTTTGAAAAGCGGAAATTGTAGCGATTGGCTGAAATACAAATTTACCACATCCTAAGCATAATGAAGGTCTGTAAGGTGGGTATGTAGGTCTCCATAGGACTTAAAGTTACAGATTTTTATGATTCTCTAATTATTTTGGGGATTATACCTGTTTTAACTATAAATTATAGTTCTGCAGAAATCAAGGAGCAATGACAGGTTGACAAATATGTTGAAAATTACATGAAGTAGAGAGTTCTAAAATATATTGATGGCATCATACTAGGCAGAATTTTATCCAAAAGACACCATTTATATACAAGAAACACATTTCTTCTGATTTATTACTGATACATTATTTCAAGTTTTTTTTCATATTTTCATTTGTCAAATAATAATATCTATGTAGATTAGAGGAGTTATATATAAGAGGACTAAGGGAGTGTGACGTTACCACAGCATCGGGCTCCAGTCGAATTAAGACATTTCAGGCTAGCAGTTTACTCATTTGGAGCCAAGATCCATAGTTGGAAATCTGAGCATGTGTATCATAGCAACCATATTGCCAGAGTCAGACCATTTCTCTCTCAAGCCAGTGCAGAGACTTTAATACATGCTTTTATCACAAACCGTGTTGATTACTGCAATGCTCTCCTTTCTGGTCTTCCAAAGAAATCTACAGCTCCATTGCAGCTCCTTCAAAACTCTGCAGCACGACTGCTGACAAGGACCAGGAAGAGAGAGCACATCACCCCAGTACTGAAGTCTCTGCACTGGCTTCCTGTGAGCTTCAGGATAGATTTTAAAGTTATTTTATTAGTTTATAAAGCTCTTAATGGTCTTAGTCCTATTTATTTATCTGATCTGCTTTTATCATATGAACCCTCTCGGACTCTCAGATCCTCAGGTAGTCTTCTTTTAACTGTCCCAAGAGTCCAAACTAAAACTCACGGTGAGGCGTCATTCAGCTTTTACGGCCCCCATTTGTGGAACAGTCGACCTGAGGATCTGAGGTCCGCTGCGAGTGTTCATATTTTTAAAAGTAAACTCAAAACGTATCTTTTTAATTTAGCTTTTAATTGAAACTTGTATCTGTTTTAACTTAAATTATTATTATTATTATTATTATTATTATTATTATAGTATTATCAATAGTATTACTATTACTATTATTATATTTATTCTAAATTAAAACATCATTACTGTTTTACTTTGTCTCCATTTGATTTTAGCTCTCCATTTTGATTTTTATTATAACCTTTAGGAGCTTTATGTTTTTGTTTTATGTTTATGTTTAAATTGTTGTATATATGGATGAAACAATGGGGTGGGGTGTGGGGTTGCTGTAGTTTTTAATTATTGTATTGTAATTTTTCTGTTGCATGTGAAGCACTTTGTGCTACATTTCAAATGTATGAAAAGTGCTATACAAATAAAGTTTGATTGATTGACTGAAAGAGTCATCTGTGAGTGAAACTGTTTAAGGTACATACATTTTCCATAGAAAGTTGCCCAATCTCGCCCATCCAGTATGGAACTTGGTGGCTTGTGGGTAAGCTATGTCCAGTCATATTGATATTTTGCAGTGACATTGTGCTGGGGGTGTTCTACATGTATCCCTGTGGTGGCACAATGTACACATTATAAAACACTGTCAAAAAAGTATAAAAACACAGAGGAAGTGAGAGCTTCAGGGTATATTTTTTTCAAAGTCCACAACAGGTCGAAGCTCAGACAGTGAAGATCACCAAACTTGTAGTGTAAAAACTTACTGTGATGAAGCGAACTCATGCGATTAATCGCGATAACATTTTTTTATTTTTGCCCAGCCCTACAAAATACATTTAAACAACTAATTTTCAGGAGATTGTGATAACGTTTGAGCATTCATGGTCCTGAGACACGAACTGACAAATTGTAGGATAATGCTAGCTAGCTTGTGACTTCAGTTATATGTGTGAGAGACTGCTTTAATAGTACAAATCAGATCACCTTGTGTAGTTCCAGCTAAGTCAAGTCTATGTCCTGGAGTTTGCTTGTACCAGTTAACATGTTTTATAGTAAATAGAAGAACATGTAAATGTGACAGTGTCTCCAGGTTGGACCAGTGTCAAAGGTATTTGGTCCTCTGCACTTTGACCTGGAAAAAAAAAAAAAAAAACCTTGTCCAGAAATGTATCACCAACATTTAATAGTTAGTGTAGTTTTACTTACAGAAGGTGCTGAGGAGGATGAAGGTGATGAGTGGCCCTACCACGATTTCTTCTGATGTTCCAGACAGACTTACATGAGTATTTGATGTCTCCTCATCTTAAAGCAAGTTTTGAAAAGCGGAAATAAATGTGACTGGCTGAAACACACATTTACCACACCCACAGGCGCACTGTGTCAATTTTCTGGTGGATGGTCTGTCACCTTCTTGTCTCTATGGAGATGTTCTTGTTTTGCCCAAAAATGTTTCACAGACAAGAGTAGATGTAAATATAGCATAATAGTAACATGTATTAACATGAAGAATCTTCCAGGATAAAATAAATTTAGTCTGGAAGATTTTTTCAATCTTTCAACCTCAATGGAGACCAGCAGGTGGCACCACAATTAGGTATTTTTGATCAAATGAATAAATGTACAATAGATAAGTTAAATGCTATAAAGAGGAAGATTCCAGGCTAAAACATGACAGCAGGAGATAAGCTGGTGGTGGATCTTCCACCAGAAAAGTTACGCAAGTCTTGTTTCCAAAGTGAACTGACTTCATCACAGACTATTGATGCAGAATTATGCAAACAAATGTGAATGAAACAAAGCACATAAAAAGAAGAGTGGAGTTAATAACATTCTAACATGGCTTAAAGCTCACGTGTCCATTTCATGTGATGATTGATTATTATTACCTGAGGTACAATTATATTTTGCTTTGTGCATAAATTATGAGGTGTATTTGATGTGCGATATGTGTGTACATATGATGGACTGTGAGTCCTCAATTAATGATAATAATATATAATAGGGCAGTATAATTTCTATGTACACAGCACTGGTACAACTCGACATGTCTGTTTTCAAACAATACAACTGCTTAATGTAATTTTAAAGGTGTGCAGTTTCTTACTTTTACTGGTACTGTAGTTGATATTTTTTATTGAATTTTATTGAATGTCAGCACATTTTAGTAAAAAAGTAAAAAAGAGTATTTATAGGTGACCACTTTTTGAGCCATGTTACAATGGTGTTCATCATCATACACTTACTCAGAGTTTTGATTGATTCCTGCATATTTTTTGTAAAGGTACTTTTTATTGTCACTGTAGGGAAATTTGACCCATTTGGTTCAATGCTCAGAAAAAAACAGTTTTCACCTACACCCATCCAGGCCAGGCCCACAGTATACATGTAGGGTTAAAAATGGCATGTCGTCATGTAGTTTCATCAATAGAAATGGGGCGTATCAGTTTTAGATTTTTGAAAAGGAAGTCAATAGATCTTTTTTATTAGTGAACCATTTAAGATCAATATTGAGGTTTATAATGAACAAAATCTAAAATAATTGATCTGTGTATTGTATAGTTTAATATTAAATACCACAAAAGCATCATATATGTCTTGTTTAAATATATTATATTGTGTCTCAGATGATAAAAATTGTCCAGAGTTTATGAACAATCAGCAAGAGACTGAAGTAACTTTTGTCTTTTCTGTAGATTCTCCTCAAGGCACTGAATGATAACAGCGTCTATTTTGGAGTCAAATTTATTAGCAAACCAGTGACCGTTGTCAAGTAGCCAGCGCATTTCTGCCACACCATAGATGCAAACACCCCGTATGTGCACACCAGTGCAGCGTGGGTACAAATGGCCCTCCATGTAGGACCACTTGACCAGCCTCGTCTTACTCATTTTAGCAGTGACATCTGGGTGTGACCGGGGAACCTCTCCTGGTACACCAGGCAAACGTGCAAGGGTTGCCCAGAAATGTTCATCGGGGGAGTAGGTATCTTCACACCAAGCCAGAAAATCTTTGACCACATCAGAGGATTGCATATACTCCACAAATTCCCTTGACAGGACAAAGTAAGCACTGCCGGTAAACATTTCAATCCCATGAGGTGGTGACTTCTTCTCCCTATTTGTTTTGATGAGCATTTTTTTTGTATTCATGGTTGACATCTTTAATTTCATGGTGATACTTATATCTTTCACTTTTATACGGAGTAGGTCTGCAAGTCTCTAACATGTTTGCACCTTTTAATTTGGTTAGTTCATTCACTAATTCAGTATTGGGTCTGAGGGGGAAATCCTGTCCACAAAGGTTGATAATGTACTTCCACTTAACCTCTGACTTCAAAAGGTCTGACATGCAATGCAAATCTGCCTTTAATCTGGTAATGCTGGCATAGACCACATATTCTCTTTTTGAAGCAATCATAACATTTGGCAAACACCGGGCCAAGCTTTCCATTGCTGAACGGAACTTATCTGAAGACTTCTCATCGTAGTGAATACAGAAAATATTGTTAGGAGAATATAATGCTTTGATAAGTCTCTCCACCATCCAGGCATATTTGTGGACAACTAATGAAT